GTTTTTCTACAACAAAAGTTGAAAGATTCCGAATAACCTTTCATCTGTAAATGCATCATACAGGAGGACCAATAGAACAACGTTTCCTGTGACGTAAAGATGTTTTCTGATTGGCTCGCTTTTCGTGTAGATTTTTGAAAGTCTTTGTGAAGGAGGGAGAGCTGCCGTCGAAAAAGGTAATGAAATCTTTAAAAAAAAAAACACAATTTTCACAGGTATAAATGATCAGTTGGGATTATTTATAATATGTGAGACTAAATCCAGCTAACCGTGATTGCTCGGGAGCAGATTTTAGCCGTGCTAAGTCACCAGCTAGCACGTTTAGCCCTTTAGCATGTCCTGTTCCGTTAAAGATGCAGATGTTTTCAGGAAAAAGCTCACGGTTTTTGAAGATTATTTCACCCCTTCTCGTGCAGACATGGCTCCGAGGAAGAGGACAACCAAAACGCGGAAAAACAACCCGAAGGCCGCGAAGCTGGAAGCGTTTCTGCAGGATTTTAACAGCGAAGGTCGGAGAAAAGTCTGATATTAGTCGGTTAAAAGCTGCAGGGAGATGAAGCTGTTCGAGTGTTTCTGCTGTGATTCCTGCTCCTGTTTTATCTGTCATCTCCAAACTTCTAGACTAAACAGCTTTAAAATTAAAATTGAAATAAAGTTCAATAAATAAATGTAACACTGAAACTAACCACTCACCATCCTGCAGTGGAGACCCGGGTCCGACAGATGAGGGAGGACCTGAACCAGCTGCTGAACAATGTGGACAGCGCCTACAACCTGGCTTTATTCAAAATGCCCAAAGCTGTGAGACAGACCAACTGGCTGGACCTCCTCAGTGAGTCCACACCTGAAMACAGAACCTGGCAGAACCTTCARGCTTTGTTTGGAACGAGGTGGATAATAAAGTTCTGCTTTGTTTTTCTGCAGAATCGGAGAAACCGAATACTCAGGAGGTGGACAATGTGAAGGTGAGCCAGTTTTAGGTCCTACCTACATCATCGAGTCCTCCTCCTCAGTCGGAGTCCAACTTCCCGGTTCTGTTTGTGTGTCAGCAGAGAAAAGAGGAGGATGCCATCATGACGAGCGCCGGCGCTGAGGACCACRCCCCCCAGAAGACCGTCAGCAAACGTGAGTCCAGCTGCTTCAGAACCAGGCTCCCCTAAAGCAGGGTTCGACAAGAATATTTTTTTACCTGCCCGACAACAAGTGTTACCTGCCCGACATGAAAATTACCTGCCTGACACAACAAGGTTCAAAATTTGATAAAATMAGAAAAATGTGTACTGTATTTGTACTAGAAAAATAGTAACATGGTTACACACAGACGTACATAATAAATTACATYTGATTTAGCAGATGCAAACATTGCAGACTGAGTCACTCACAGTCAGTCAATTATATTATCAAAAACATCTTCAATAAAAAATTTTAGACCTTAGAGTACTGGCCTTGGGAGGGCTGCGTATAAAAACAGAATGATCAACAGCAGCTTTGTTTTAAATACAATTTACAGAACATGAAAGTCTGCAATTTGCATTAATTGAAT